AGTGATGACCACCATGATGGTCGGAGGCGGTGGCTTCGGAGGTGGTGGTGGCTTGGGGGTCGGCCGAAGGGGCCTGTCGCCTCCGTCGGGAGCCAGCAACCACACCCAAAGACATTCTTCACCACAGCCGCCCTTGTCGCCAGCGTCCAGCGACTCACCTACTTCCCCAGTCAGGTGTGTGTGTGTGTGTGTGTGTGTGTGTGTGTGTGTGTGTTGTGTGTGTGTGTGTGTGTGTGTGTGTGTGTGTGTGTGTGTGTGTGTGTGTGTGTGTGTGTGTGTGTGTGTGTGTGTGTGTGTGTGTGTGTGTGTGTGTGTGTGTGTGTGTGTGTGTGTGTGTGTGTGTGGTGTGTGTGTGTGTGTGTGTGTGTGTGTGTGGTGTGTGTGTGTGTGTGTGTGTGTGTGTTGTGTGTGTGTGTGTGTGTGTGTGTGTGTCTGTGTGCTTGTGTGGTGTGTGTGTGTGTGTGTGTGTGTGTGTGTGTGTGTGTGTGTGTGTGTGTGTGATGTGTCTGTGTGTGTGTGTGTGAGACTGTGTGACTGTCTGTGTATGTGTGTGATTGTGCATGTGTGTGTGCTTTTTTCTTTTTTTGTTCCCCATAATAATCTTTATATCTGTATGATTATGTATATTTGTTGATAGAGAAATAATCCAGTATGGAAAACAAAGTGAGATTATATATACTCATTCAAATTAATCTGTGATGCAAAGGTTTTAAAATTGGTTATTTGTATATGCTACCTGAATCTTAAGTTGAAATTAACTTATGTACTATTGATGTCTGATATCCACTTCTGTTCCTTATTACAGATTTATAATTATGTCATCTTATTTTCAGCCCTGGACGTCATGGAAATAAAGCATGTGGTGTTTGTGGTGATGTGGCGAAGTCCATGCACTTTGGAGGACTGTCATGTGATTCTTGCAAGGCCTTCTTCCGGAGATCAGTGCAGAACAATGCATATAAGGGATTCACATGTCCCTATGAAAAGAAATGTGTGATTGCTGTGTCTTCAAGAAAAGCATGTCAGTACTGCAGGTAAGAAACTATATATCTATCTATCCGTCTCTCTCTCCAACACCCCCTTTCATTCTCTATTTATCTAACCCTTTCTCTCCCTCATTCTCCTTTACTCTTCTTGTCCATTGACCTTTTCACTTCTCCTTTTTCGCAGTGTCTCCTTCCTTCCTGTTTTCCCACTCTCTCTCTCTGTCATGCATTTATCATTTGAGCTCTAATACTTGATTTCTATATGATATGCTCTAAGTAATAGAAAAAGAGTATGTGACAATATCAGTTTGTAGAGACAAAATGTGCCAAATCAAATAATGCTCTTAATTTTATAAATGCTTATTTGCAATCATATATACATGACTAAAAAGACATAAGTCAGGGATGGCTAACATTTTGTAATGTTCCTCTTAGTTCAGATACACCATACAACTCTTGAATCTCCATTCAGTGCTTGCAAAAATATAGTTATTTTTGGCAGTTTACATGGTTTGTAGTTGTAGTATAAAACATGATAAACATTACTTAGCTTTATGAGACTTTATGGTCTTGATTTTGAAAAGCTTTTAATATATAGGGTTCTATTGGTTTCTAAGAGGAAGAGTTTTATCAAACAGTTGACAGGAATGAATGCAAACCAAAAGGCTTGTTTAATAAGTTTCTATGATTGCTTTTGAAAATGTAAAACAGATTTATCTGAAAAGTGAAGTTTTGCACAGTATAGCTAAAAATAATTCTGAGTTTTGTATTTATCCTCATTTCACTCTCTTTTAAGGTGAAACCTATTTATATTCCTGTTATGTTTATTTTTCTACAGTTTTTTTTTTTTTTTTTTTGATAAAGCTGTTTGCTTGAGCAGATTTACTTTTTTATTATTATCATGTAGATGGAATGCCCACCCATAGCACTGTGTTGGCCATCCCAGCAGTAGACATAGATTTGGTATAAGTGTGTAATTATGTCAAAAGATAATGACTTTAACTTTGCCTTATGTCAGTGTGATATATATATATATATTATATTATATATATATATATATATATATATATATTATATAATATATATATATATATGTGTGTGTGTATGTATGTATGTATGTATGTATTGATATATAAATACATATCAAGGCAATCTATGTGATTATGACTTTTCTTTTCAGATTCCACAAATGCCTCAACATAGGTATGGAGAAGGGCTGGGTGATGTCAGAGGATGAGCGACGCAAAATGATGCAACAGCGCCAGGAAAAGAAACTAAAAGCTGATCAGAAGAAGCATCATGAGACAAAGGACATTGATAAATATAGCCTTAGTGAGGAGGATAATACAGAGATACAGATAATTGTTTCTCTCTATAGAAAAGCATACCAAGATGTTCCTTACGATTCCAGTTGTCAGAATGATGGTGCAGCAGGTGTCATGTCTCCTTGGATGACATTCTGCAAGAGAATAGGATATTTCTTTTCACTCTTTAGGGAATTCACAGAGCTCCCCAGTGGTGATCAAGCAACACTTATGAAAACTGCCATTACATCAGCTTGTATCATCATGGGCTCTGTTGTATATGATTCAAGTACAGGCAAATGGCCAGGGAAACCCATAACAAGATCAGGTTTTGTACCCAATGTATCTTCACAGAATGTAAAGCAACTAGTGCCTTCAGATTTGATGTCACGTGTGGAGCAGTTCTTCAGAAAGTTTCAGCAGATATGCCCAGATGAAACAATGGCCATGATACTTATATTGGTGACTCTTTACTCTTCAGAACTAATAGGTTTGGAGGCTAAGGAAACCATCCAAGCACTTCAAGACAGATATACACGTATCTTGCATCATTATGTTGCATGGAAATATAAGGAGAAATCCCACATGATGTTCCCCAAGGTCTTAGTATCACTTGCTGACATTCGTGAGTTATCAGAACGAACATGTCAGATGCGCATTCAGCAGGGATCTTCTTCCAGCAACCAAAATATCACATCACTACTTCCAAAATCCAATCCTCAGGATTCTTCCTCAACACCTATGGAAACATGCCAATCAGAAGAAGCAGCCTTAGACAGTACAGATAGTGGGATGGTAAATGTAAAAGAAGAATTTGATGTAGATTGTAATTCTGCACTTAACACTGCAGCTGCCCACAAGCGTGCAAGGTTAGAAGCAACTGGCAGTGCTCGTGATCATACCTACCAAAAGATATTGCAAAAGGTCATGGATCAGATGCACAGCTCTTTGCATTTACGAGCTCCACAGTTGCTTCCTATTGTCATTCATATTGTAAAAAAGATAAAAGCTGAAGGTGGAGGCATTGAAGATTCATCTCATACCACCAAAACTCACCATGTCAAACAGCCAAGAGGTGGTACAAAACGAAGACAGGTTGAAGTTAAACAGGAACAAATAGAAGAGGATTGTAATGCACAGTTCTCTCAAGACTTACCTAACTCAGACCTGAATGACCCTATGTCTCCAGACATTCATCATACTCCACACTTCAATCTTAGTCAGCAGCTTCAGCAAGATCTTCATCCTCCACAGACCCAGATTTTGCACCAGCAGCAGTTCATACCCCCATCAACAGACATTAATTTAGGATATCCAGCTTCCCCAATGGATTCCACAGATTCATTTGACATGCTGCCCACATCACCTCTTCATTGCCAAAATTCGAATATGTCACCAAACCTAATGCTTTCTGCAAACCATACAGCTGATGTCAGGCTGTCACCTCAAGTTCCACTCATGGCACCTGTTGCCCCTTATACTCCTCCTTCAGTAGTAACTTCATCACCCATGCCAGTCCAGCAGTCGGAAGTCTTTCCTGTTGCAGACATGCCATTGCCATCTCCAATGGCTGCTCCTTCACCGTACTCTGATACTTCAAGTTCATCACCACCTGAAAGCTCCCAGTCACCGCTGTCTGAACTCTTCACAGAAGAGCTGTCAGATGTTGAAATAGATGTACTAACACAGTTGATGGACTATGTTTGTAATTCAAATCTGGAAAATGTAAGTTCAATCAAGGAAATTATACCAGAACATCTCTTAACTGAACTTCAAACAAAATTGTGCACATACTCTTTAAAACAAGAATAAACAGAAAGACCACATTTTAAGAAGAAAAAAAGTGAAAATATAAGTATAATGAATATGGAAACAAAACTTAAAAGGACTCCATTCAGAACAGTCTTTTGGCACATTTCTTATAATGAGGACAACATATATAATTTGCATATGGAATAGAATATCCATGTGCATTAAGAGATGTGTACTCTGTTTAAAATAAAACAAGAAACCTTGAAAATAGACAGTGAATGAAGCTGAAAGGATGGGTGTTCTAAACAATGCATGTTGAAATTGACTGCAAAGCCACATGTGTATATAAATGTATATATGACATGCATACAAGCTCTAATGTCTGTGGATTTGCTTAATACTTGCTAATAACTAGAACAAATCAATGTCAGAAAGCCAAAAACTATACCAGTCCCGTACACATTTTTCTGGCAAGTGAAGATTTTATGAATATTTTGTGATAATAACTATAAGAAATGAAACTTTTTCCTTTTTTTTTTCTCTTTTTTTCAAAGAAGTTGTTAGTGGTTAATATGATTTTGTGGCTTTAGAACTTTGCACCCTTGATGAATTATCAGTCAAGATGAAAAGCGAACATTCATTCCTAGAGTAATGAATGGTAATAAAAAACAGTGAATCCTAGAACACTTTGATATTGTGTTTGATAATGTACAACGCCAGTTTGCTAAAAAGAAAAAGTACCGAATACAAACTTTGAGAAGAACTTACAACAACGAATGGAGTGAGAATCCATCAGTGTCATTATGTGCACATATTCCTATCCTGTATTGCTGTTCAATTATTGTATGTTCAGTTCTATGTCGCATTCAGTGTTGGTGGTACAGTGTAGATGGAGAGGGAAGCAAGATGTCAGTACAGTTCTTGTAGAAGTAACATAAAGTAGTCATATACATTTAGT